AGAATGACTCAAGCCTGTAATCCCAGCACTTTGGGAATCCGAAGCAGGCAGATAGGCTGCCTGAGTTCAAGAGTTCCAGACCAGCCTGGGCAACAGAGCGAGACCCTGTAAAAAAAAAAAAAAAAAAAAAAAGTGGTGTGGTGGTACGTGCCTGTAGTCCCAGCTACTTGGGAGACTGGGTGGATCTCTTGAGACCAGGAAGTCGAGAATGCAGTGAGCTGAGAGAGTGACAAAGTGATACCCTGTCTCAAAAAAAAAAAGTTCAAGTTTTCTCGGGATTTAGTTGAACATTTTAATTCCAACACATCTAATTTCTGCATCTGGTACTGCATCTGGTACTGCATCTAGGTGGACAGCAGCCCCGGGGGTACCTTGCATGTAAAAATTTGATGGAAAGAAACCCATCCGGGAGGTTTCTGCTTTGGGAGCACCCCGAAGGTGTTTTACAAGGCAGCAGTGCAGGGAGTAAGTGTGGGAATTCGAGCCCAGAGCCCTGGCCACGTGAACTCTCGTCTCGCTCCCTGGTGATCGCTTCGTCTCTCCAGGCTTCTCTGCTTGCCTGTGAGATGCCCAAATAATGTGCAGTCTGTAGATTAGTGTCATATTTGCATAGTTAAAACAAAAAAAACACCACCATGCTAAATTATGAACCACATTTTCAGCAATTCCTAAGATACCCCTTAAAATGAGCTCTTTTTTGCCAGGGACTCTGGCAGGCTGTTCACCCACGGCCTCCCAAGAGCTGGGCTTCCCTCAGGTTTCCTAGGACATATGGCCAATCACAAGAAAGCCCATCCAAAAGTCTTTTCCTCCTTCAGATAAAGGACCTTTATTTCCTCCTTCCACATCAGAGCACTTGTGGAAACTTCCAGAAGCTGGAGGCTTTGTAAATACACAGTAAAGAATCTGAGTTTATTTCTTTTCCATTGCCTTCAGGAGTCCACATTTTCACTCCATCAGATTAAAAATTCTTGAATTCTCTTCAGCAGTTTAATGAGTGATTCTCCTAGCTTTATTACAGAAAAACCAAAAACCCTTTGTTTTCTTTTTTCTTTCTTTTTTTTTTGAGACAGAGTCTCGTGCTATTGCCCAGGCTGGAGTGCAGTGGCACGATCTCCAATCACTGCAACCTCCGCCCCCTGAGTTGAAGCAATTCCCCTGCCTCAGCCTCCCTAGTAGCTGGGATTACAGGCATGTGATACCACGCCTGGCTAACTTTTATGTTTTTAGTAGAGATGGGGTTTCACTGTGTTGGCCAGGCTGGTCTCGAACTCCCACCTCAGGTGATCTGCCCGCCTTGGCCTCCCAAAGTGCTGGGATTACAGGCATGTGATACCACGCCTAGCTAAGTTTTGTATTTTTAGTAGAGACAGGGTTTCACTGTGTTGGCCAGGCTGGTCTCGAACTCCTGACCTCAGCTGATCCACCCGCCTTGGCCTCCCAAAGTGCTGGGATTACAGGCATGAGCCACCACCCTGGCCTTGTCTGTTTTTAATCTGTGACCTTTTACAGCATGTAAAAAAATCACTTTATGATTGTTAACACAAGAAAACCTTCACTCTGCTCTGCCAATCACAGAATCTCCAATTTGAAAATGAACAACATTGCTATTTTTAAAACTCGGAATGCAATTGATTTGAAAGGTCCTTCTGGCCTCATTTTGTAGAAAGATAAAGTGACTATCATAAATCAACACCAAGTATGGAACCCCTTTGTTAACTTTGGACTCTACTTTGCTATGAGATAACAAAGTATCTGGGATTTGGGCTTTTCTTTTTTTTTCCAGTGATTTCAATTTCTTAGCGATGGTATAAAGATGAAGAAGAAGAGATTGATACTTTTGGAGAACATCAAGTCATTTTTAAAAATATATTTTTCTCAAAGATAAAGGAATTTGCTGTAGAAATGAATACACTTACTCCCAAAGCAGCATTACATTGTGTTAACTTTAACAGCCTTTCCCAAAAGAGGGAACCAAACTGCTTCTGGATTAGCACTCGGACGACTGGAGAAATGAGTATGTCTTTCACCCGCAGGGATCTTTAATTACCCAGGACAGAAGGGAGTAAGGAGGGAGGCAAGAGAGAGCCCCCACTCCACCCCCCAAAAAAAGGGAAACAGGGAGGGTAATTTTCCCCGGTTCCTCTTCCAAGGAGCCGTGGCTCAGGAGGCCTGGCTCTCCTGCGGGCGCCTGGGCTGTGTCTTCCAGGTTCCTTCCCTGAGCCTCAGGACTTTGTCACCTGTGAAGTAGGACGAGGTGGAGACCTGAAGTTGCTGAGGGGCAGGATACACGTTTGAATTCATGTTTTTGTCCCTCAGGCCCTGCCACTGGAAGCCCTAGCGGCCCACGTGCCTTTCATCCTGGCCCGCAGAGGCCTGAGTGCTGTCTCGGGCAGTCTGGGCAGGGCTGGGTAGGGCCCAGCGGACCCCACGGGCAGACCCTCGCCTCTTCCCAGCTGTCTGTCTGTCGTCCCTCTTCGTCCCTCTTGTCCTGAGGTGCTGTCCCAGTCCTCGGGGGAGGCAGTCGCGGGCAGCTCAGTCAGCAGCGCGTCCAGGGGTGCCGGAGTCTCCTGTACGCCCTGCAGGAAGCTGTGCTGCCTGGGGCCCTCCCCTCGTCCCCTCCTCCGTCCCTGTCCCTGTCCCTCCCGTTCTGCGGCGGGAGGTGGCGGTGTGGGTCTCCCGGGAGGTGCGGCAGGCTGGGGAGGTGGGGAGGGGTGTGCTGCGTGCTGGGGGTAGGGGGACAGACCTGCCGCACCCGCCCTGCTCCCCGCTTCCCCAGCCCTTGGTTGCTATGCAGTTTCTATGGCAGCAGCATCCTCAGACTCAACTTTCACCCTCATTTAGAGCCAATTAAGGTAAAATAGTGAGGGGAGGAGGGAAGAGCATGGCCAGGGAAGGGAGGGGGGAGAGGCAGGAAATCCAATTCGAAGCTGCAAGTGCAGCGTTTACTCTGCCAAAGTCGCAGTACAGATTCTGAAGCCGCAGCGCCGTCCCCTCCTTTCCTCGCCCCAGCCTGAGCGGGAAGCGGCAGCAGCTCCCCAGAGCCCTGGCTTGGCAGGGAAGGGACGGGCACCCGGGCAGCCATATTGCAGCCCCCCGGGTCCCTCCTCCTGGGCAGCTGCGGGCCCCACACTCACGACCTCCTTTGGGAGCCGGATCTGTCCTCTCCATCGCCGCCACCCGCCAGCCTCTGCGTCCCTTGGCTTCTGACATCCCTTCTGGCCATCCCCCTGTGCCGGTCGGAGCCTCTATTTATTTCCTTTCTTACTATCAATACTTGACCAGCAGAAAAGGAAAGTTTAAAAATGCCGATCGCACAGTTGCTGGAACTATGGAAAAAAATCGAGGTGGAGCCTATGGAAATAGAGGTGAGTGCGGGAAGGAACGCACTTTTCACAGCATTCTCAAGAATCCGATCTCCGCAGCCAATGCATTACTCATTTACTATAATCGGCTCATGTTTATTAGGTGACTACGATGGGTCAGGGAGTTGGGTGTCCAGTGTGTGTGGATGTGTATGTTGCGTTGTGTATGCACATGGATAAACACTGCGAGTGTACACACACACGGCATTGTGTGTGGTGTAAATACATAAATGATAATGAGTACAAGAAACAAATTGTTGCCCTTAAGGAAACTTCAGGATGTTTCTTAAAGTCTGTGTAAGTCTTAAGTATTCCCATTTCCAAACTAATCTGCATCAGTTTGATTTTCCTTCAACAAGTGGCTTTAAATTAGAAGCCTTCCATTTGCTACAGTGAAAGATGAAACCAGAAGGCAAAAATCAATGATGAATCAAGGAACAGAGAGCATAAAGATAATGTGATCTTAAACGAGAAAAGATAATGCAAACTTAAAAGGATGAATGGTCAGATAAAGAGATGTGATTAAACATAAACAGAAAAGATAATGAAATCCAAGTGTTCCTTGCCCATCCCAGGGCTGGTGGGTGTGCAGGAATCACTGCTGAGAGTTTTTCACTCCATGCTTCCCTGGGGACATGCAAACCTCTGCTCCACGGAATCTGATTTGCTCCATTTGAATTGGAGATGGTCAACATACATTTTCCTAGAAGAGAAAGTTCCCCAAATTTATTAACATCTACTGAATTATTAGATATACCTGCTCTGTGTTTATAGCAACTCAAATGGCATTTAAACATGGTTCACTTTTCATCACTCACCAAACCTCAAAATCCAATTTAATTTTTGCTTATCTCCTACTCCCAGCACTGTATTTATAAATTCAATGCTATTTTAAATTTTGTTTATTTTTGTATGTATGTCTTGAGATAGTCACCTAACATAACTTTAAATTGAATGGGAGATTCTGTTTTAGAAGAGAATTTACTTAATGCTTCATATTGAATACGTGCCTTGGAAAGGCAAACTAAATAATGCTTGACATATGTATTGATGTTTAAGAGAGATTGTTGGGCATAGCACAGACATTAAAGGCCATTTGTTTTAGATGGAACAGCCCAGATACATACTGCTGCTTATGGACAGTACCTGAGGTGGGAGAAGGATGACACCAGGGCTCCTTACTGTTACTGATTCTTCTGTTTGTACATGGGGTTGTTCTTGGTGTTGAGGACAATGTCTTGGAAAGATCCAGTCCCTTACTGTGGTTGCCATTTCAAGTCTATTTTTTCTGAGAGAGATTCAATTTTTCTAAATATCGAATTAGTGAATGAGCAAGTGATTAGCTAGAAGTTCTTTTCTCATTTTCTAGTGCTTCCTATAGCCCTGTCTGGTCATCGTCAGCACATTTGCTTGTGCTGAAGCTGGAAGGTGCTCAGCCCTCATGAATGAAGGGTTCATTCAGAGGGAGGATTCCACCCTGGGCTCAGAAAGGATGGGAGAGAGGGGACAGGGGCTTTACAATTCCAGGTGGGACCCTGGTCTTCACATTATTTCCAGTGACCAAAGCCATGAGGAGCAGCTCATGTTTCCCGTATTTCTCAAATTGCTCATAAATGGATCGGCAATGAATAGATTCACATGATTTGAAAACTATGCCATGAGCCTAGAATGCACTTGCAAGTGGCAAGAATTTGGAGCTGAGTTGACTGATAGCCTGCCCTGCCTTGCCAGCCCCAGGAGAGGGCAGATGGTAACAGTTTTGAGGAAAATTGGATACATTAAATAGCCCCTGAAGCAAAATAAATTTTTTTCAGGCTTCTTAGCTAAATTTTTTCAGGAGAGCATAACTGGTGGAGTATGGACAGTGTTAAATTCCTATTTACTTGGAACCCAGAAAACCAGAGTTCTTTCTCTAGAAAAATGAAAGCTTAAATATTAACCCTGAGGTACTTCAAGTTTCTGAGGAAATTTCCAAATCCACAAAATCCTCTGTTTTGGAATTCAGAGGCTGATTTTACTCTCTAGTTTTGTCCATGTTTTATGTTGTATGGTATCAAAATAACTCACATATCAGGAAATGTGGCACAGCTATATGGAGCATATCTGGCCTCTGAACTCCAAATTAAATGCCCTAAAACCCTTGCAGGAGGAGTCTGCATGCTTTTCTCATCAGAAAATCTGCTAAGAGATTGTAGTGCTTATTTTTTAGTGATTTAGTTTAGATTTTAGTGCTTTAGTTCCTTGCTGTTATGCAAATGTGACACGGCTGATGATTGGATTTCCAGGGACAAGAATCAGCATTCCTGGGTTCATGTTTTGCTCTAACCACCTTTTCGAGTTGCTATCCTTTCTGGCCTGTTTTCCCAGCTGTTGTCTGAGAGACCTGAACTGAATTGGGTCTGAGGTCCATTGTACTAGAGAACACTGCATACAGTTTATAAAAATTGTAGACCAGGGGAGATTCATCTGACTGTCCAGGGGAAGTCTTTGTGGGTCTCTGCGTTGTTCCAAGATATTTCAGATGATATAACTTACCCATAAATGAGTGTGTTGACAAGGAGACATACTAATTAAGAGCCAGAACCTCCAGAAAACCCCTGCAGAATCTAGCATGAAAAAGAAACATGTAGTATCTCATGAATTATGTTCTGGCAAGTTGAAGGCACGTCTCAAATGCAGGACTTTTCAATCATTGCTTTCAGTGGGGTTACAGCAGCCAAGGGCGTGCTTTGGGGGAAAGACAAGAAAATGGGAGAAATGATGAGTAAGGCAAGTCCATAAGCCAGTCCACAAGGTATGGCTGACCCATTTTATTTGTGTTCTCTTGGAGGAATAAGCATGATTTTTTCTCTCTGGGATGTCATAATACATTAGATTGAGAAAGAGAAAAATCCATTTTTAAACAATGCAGATCAAACATGATTCTTTGAAGATTCATAGTCAAGCTTGGATAGAGATGATTATCTCCTGGCTACTTGGTGAGAAGATGAAACTAGAAATAGTAATAATGACAGCAGTTCTCTTTGAGCGTCTACTGCATAACAGCCCGTGTTGATGGCTGGCTGGTGTTCCTCCACGGAGCTCTCCCCACATGTCTAGGTAGAAGCACTGCCATGTCTCCGAGGCCCAGGTTAAGCAGTTGGCCCCAAGTTAAGTAGACACCAAAGACTCAGACCCAGATGGATCTGCTTAAACCACAGAAACACTTGATTTATGTTGTATGAGCTGGGCCTCATTGCTCTGCTGGAATCCATTCTGCCAGCACTCACTCCGGACTGATTTGGTTCCATTTTCATGGGAGTGGTCACACAGGCCTTCACTGCTGCTCTGTGCTTCCACGTCAGCTCCATTCGTTTTTTAGCTTCATGAAAATCCACGCCTTCTGCACTGGCAAGAATCACCTTGTCCTTTAGATTCACCTTGTCCTCCTTTAGATTGTGCTGTAAGTCACACTCACTTCATTGATTTAGTTGTTTGAGTTAGTGTTTAGTCTGAACACTCCTTGCCTTACCACCTGTTATTTAAAGGATCCATCTTGGGCATGAAGCATCACACAGTTGCACATAAATTCAGGTAGGAAGAGACGGTGATATGGTTTCCACGTTCTACAGAACTCATGGGGGATATTTAGTTAGTACTTTTTCATATTGCAAACCTGTATGAAGCCATCTACAAACACATGGCAATGCTAACCATCCTTAACATCTGTCTTTGTTACCAGACCACAGAGGAGGATCTCAACGTGGATGCTGAACCGGCCACAGAAGACACTGCAGAAGAAGTAATTATACACGTTTTATTACAGTCTGCTTTGTTTGGGGAGATTGGGCCCAGAAGGTAGTGAAGGGGGAAATGGAAGTTTGAAATTAAATATCTGCGAGCAATTATTTTAGTGACATGTGTGTCTCAAGACATACACACGCACAAATATACATACATGCACATGCACATATTATGTGCTTCTTATATTCAGTAATCTCCCTCAAAAGGAATAGTTGGAGCATAGGAAGGAAGGGTGTCAATCGAGGTGAAGTTCGTGGTCTCCTGGCACGGGTGCTTGTGAGGGGCATGGTGCATTAGTACCAGTCAAGGAGGCCTGGGAGTAACCAGCTGGCCTGGAAGGCTGGTGTGGGGCTCCCCGTACTGTGTCATGTGACACAGCTGCTTAAAATGTCTGATGAAGAGCTCAGCAGAGCTGGGGAGAAAAGCCGATTCCATCTGTGGGAGTTGCCTTTCCAGTGGGCGGAGAAGTGTCCCAGGGCCTGTAGGGGTTGACTGGGAAAGAAGGAAAGAGAGACAGAACATCAGCCTGAGGTGGACATCAAATGGAAGAGAAGAAAGAGCTCTTGCTGCTGCAGGCTGTGCATGTCTTCATTTTCATGCCGTGCAGGAGCTTGGGCCTGACCCAGGCAACAGAAAACAGACTTAGACTTTAATAAAGTAAAAGTATCTCAGCAACACTGGTGTTCTCAGGGGAGATTTTGGTAACAAGAAGCATGTCCATCAGGGAGACACTGGACACAAAAGAGCTAAATTCGAAAGCTGAGTTGAGGCTGTGGTGAAGGCTTTGTAGTTACACAGCCACACTTCCACCACTGGGAAAGGAAATGCTCTCAGAGGTGGCTGGAGCCATGGACCACTGACTTGGCCATTAAGAAGACTGAGTCGCTCAGCCACATGCCACCTGCAGCCAGAAAAGTTAGAAAATTTGCAACTCTGTTGACTTTTGAGATAGCTGGCAGATATTGTAGACTGGAAGGGCTGGATCAATGAACATTACTGGTTTTAGAAAATGGTCTGCTCAGATGCTGAACGCTGCATTTCACTACCATCTAAACCTATGCACACCAATGCAACATTTAAGCCAAGTGTCACTGGATCTTAGGATCCGATGACATAGTCCACCGGTTAAATGAAGAAAAATGGCGTTCGGCTGCCTTGCGTTTATCCAGCTGCCTTTCGGTTCTGTGCGTTTTCGCTAATGTGGGAGTCTAGAGTCCGGCTCTCTTCTAGCTGCGCAGCGATCCGGCTGCATTCTTAAAACACTATGCTTGGCCTGGCCTTGTACCTTTGCATCCCCTGGCAGAGTAGACAGCGCCACTTTTGCCAGTTCCATGAAGGTCAAAGGGTAGGCAGACGAGGCAGTGACTTTCCTGAAAATATGATGCTCAATCTGATACTTGCAAAGTGGTAGGAATGGGAAAGGAAGGTGTACCCTCCCTGCAAATTCGTAAGACAGCAAATTCATAAGGCCAAGGGTTTCAGAGAAATAACTGGCTGTCATTTTTCAGAATACTTTTCTAGGCTTTCGTGGGAACTCTGATTTCCAGGGAAGTTAGTGCGTTTACTGCAGGCAGACTAATGTGATGACTTAGTAGTTGGCTTCAGGAGGCTGTCGACAGGGCCCTGAGCCAGGATGGCTGCAGCAGACTCTTCATTCTGCTAGGTTCAACCGGAGCAGCAAGATTCCATAACACCATGTCCTGCTGCATTCAGGCTGCCATAGCAGAATGCCACACTGGGAGGCTTCTACACAACAGAAAGGTATTCTCATAGTTCTGGAGGCTGGGAAGTCCACAATTAAGGCATGGCAGGTTTGACGGCTAGTGAAGCACACTTTTCTGGTTCATGGCCAGCCTTCTTTACCCTGTGTCCTCAAGTGGTGGAAGGGACAAGGGAGCTCTCTGGGGTCTCTTTGATAAGGATACTAATCCCATTCATGAGAACTCCACCCTCAAGACCTAATGACCTCCCAAAGTTCTCACCTAACCTTTATTGCTAGGATTTTAACATGTGAGTTTTGGAGAAATACAAACATGTAGACCATAGCGCATTATATGCCCAAAAGTGCTTATACACAACTAACAAAAAATTATTTCATTAACAATATTTATTTTTTAAGAGCTCCTAGTCTCAAGTTGTCTTGTTCTCTACATTTTTGATGGAAATCTAGATGTGAATCTATCATAGAATGTAATGAAAGAAACCAACCTCTTTAAAAGTTTTTTTTGATAATGGAATATGAGATGGAGGAGATTATTACTGTTTCTGGATGCTTACTGTATCTGAATAACAGAAAACCAGTATATCTTTGCATCTTAATAAATGAAGGAATAGAGTTCCAAACAGATTTTAGGAGTATTTTGCAGAACTATAATATTGATATTTAGATACATTTGCAGTATTTGTGGGAAGAATGAGAAAATACTGGAGAAAATTATTTGTTTACTTGATGTTTCTGATAGACGATGCTGAAAACCCAACATGGAATGTTTTAGTCTAGCTGCAGATGAATGTCATTTGAATACTCTATGATGATGTTTTAAGTTTTGTTAGAGATAAGCTTTTGACATCCTTCTTGGCCTCCAGAGTGGTTGTTTGCAAGGTCTTCTCTAGGTGAGGGATTTATGGCTCAAATAAAAGAGCCATATTCTGAACAACAATCACAAAACCGTTTTTCTTCTTTCTTCTTCTTCTTCTTCTTTCTTTCTTCCAAATGCAGTTTTGTTATGTGGATATATTGTGTAGTGGTGAAGTCTGGATTTCTAGCCTAGCCATTACCAGAACAGTGAGCACGGTACCCGACTTACGATTTTTCACCCTCACCCCCACTCCCATGCTCCCACCTTTTGTAGCCCAGTGTTTACTCTTCCTCCTATATATTCATGTGTGCTCATTCTTTAGCTTCCACTTACAGGTGAGAACATGCGGCATTTCTGAGTTATTTCACTTAGGATAATGGCCTCCAGTTCCAACCACGTTACTGCTAGAGGCATGATTTCATGCTTTTTTTGTGGCTGAATAGTATTCCATGGTGTATCTGTACCACACTTTCTTGATCGAATTCTTTGCTATTGGACACTTGTGTTGATTCCATGGCTATGCTATTGTGAATTGTGCTGTGATAAACAGATAAGTGCAAGTGTCTTTTTTATATGATACTTTCTTTTCCTTAGTGTAGATACCCAGTAGTGGGATTATGGATCAAATGGTAGTTCTGTTTTTGGTTTTCTGAAAAATTTTCATATGTCTTTTGTAGAGGTCATGCTGATTTACATTTCCACCAACAGTGTATAAGCGTTCCCTTTCTGTGCATCCTTGCCAACATCTGTTGTGGTTTTTTTGAAAAAGACAGAAATTTCGTGGCAACTAAACTGATAAACTTTTCATGCCTGTTGCCAGTCTGAACACATATGACAAAAAGTCATCTTATTTAGGAAAATAATCATTCCAGTCCGCGGCAGTTTTCCCATCATTTATTCAGCCAAGAATATTTATTGCTAATCTGTAGGGCAGGCATTATCGTTCATGGAAAAGAGGAAAAAGGTGAGCGAGGCTTGCCCTGGGAAGAGCGCAGGAGGCGCTGTGATGACTCCAGCTTGTGAGTACTTTCACTGATACGAGTTCCGTGGTGCAGGCTTCTCACGTTTTTGAAGTGTGGAAGGCATTTGGGATAGATCACGTATGATATCTAGGCATGTGATTCCTCGCGTTATAGTTCTGTGCAGCTTCCGAGAAGGTGAGTTCTGGTGAAGGTCCAGTGTGAAGCTTGGGTGTAAGACAAGATATCTGTTCTCCAGCTTGGGTGTTACTGCAATACACCTTTATTCACCATTGCTGAGGGAACAGCCTCCTCCCTCAGGAAGGCAGTAGCAATGTGGGGGAGTTTGTGTTAGAAATTCATGGGACGGGTGGATTCTTGGTCTAATTTCATCTGACTCATCAGAGGCGGCAGGCATCCTTTCTATTCTGAACAACCACCACAAAACCCAGCAGATTCTGTCAGGAAATACTTCTTTAAGGGATTACTTGAAGGGCTCTGTATAGTGACATCACAGTCATGGAAGAAAAATCTGGAAGGAGAATGACGCCTGTGGGCAGGCGAGGCCCTGGCTCCCTGAGGTTCTGGGCTCTCCCCTTCCTCCCTCCCTCCTGCAGGCCGTGCATATGGAGGCAGAGAAGCACCAGGGATGAAGTGCCTCCATGAGGCGACAGCTCCGTGTGGGAAACAAGCTCATGGCTCGCCTGGGGACTTCCCTGCAGGCCTAACTGGGTGGACTTGTTGAGGGTCTAGAGGCAACTTGCTGCCTTGTTGCCTGGGAACCTGATCTGGACGTTGGGCCAAGTGTACTCAAACGAACCTCACAGCCACACTCGTGAGACTTCGGTGGGCACAATGCCGAGCACTGATCTGTGTGGGATAGGACGTGGTGGCGGCGCTCGGCCAGCCTCCTCTGAGCTGCTGTGCTGGCGGTTGGGAGGGCTGATGCTGTCCTGATGGAGGAGGAGAGCCAGCTTCAATGGCTTTGGGCCAGGAGAGGCCCCACCTGTCCACTTCCATGGCACAGAGGTGAAGTCTGTGCAGCGCCAGGCAGCGCCCACCTCCCAGGTCTCTGTGCTGTTTTGTTGTATTTGTTCCCTATGTGTTCTCAGATTCATAGATGGATTTTTAGGTGAGTTTTCATTTCACAGAACAACCTTTGAAAAATATTAGAATTTGTTGCATGAATTTATTTTTTTATTTTTATTTTTATTTTTTTTTAGACACAGGGTCTCACTATATTGTCGAGGCTGGTCTCGAACCCCTGGGCTCAAATGATCCTCTAGCCTTGGCCTCCCAAAGTGCTGTGACTGCAGGCATGAGCCACCACACCTGTCCTGTTGCATGGATTTTTAAAGTGCTTAGATTTTCAGGGTTATGTTTATTAATAACAATAGGACCATTTTCTTGTCAGGTCAACTCTAAAAAACCAGATCTAGGTGCTATTGAAAATGTTAGCA